CCCTCGAGTGCTCTTCGGTTTTGGCCAGGAAGGCCTCCTGTTCTTGGGGAATGCGTTTCTGTCCTAGGTCCAGCTGTAGGTTCTGCGGTCCACTCGGAGATTTTCAGACCTGCATGAAACAGAGAGGTTGGTACATGGCGCCTTCCCATGTGAGCTGTGTCGCAGAACGTTTGCATGGTGTCCGTTCGTGGCGGCGTGTTTTGCATGAACCGTAGTCGCGTGTATTTGGACGCATGGCTTATGATGGTGTGCCCGTGTACCTTCACGTAAAGGTTTGATATGGCATCTGCGATTGTGTGGAGGAATGCGAGTCGGACGCGCAGGATGTAGCGGCTGTCGGCGGCACGCCGGGACGTGAGAGGGGGCAGGCCTTTTCAGAAGGCCGCGGGGTTTCGAAAAGGTTTGGTCAGGCGATCGCAGACATGGATATCAAGGGGGCGTGGACTAGCGACGGGTCCCGTTCCCTGGGCAAGCGCGGCTCTCCGCCGCCGAGCGAGGTGGCACCAGCTGCACTTTGGGGCAGGGCACCTCCCCCGAGCCATGGATTTGGCGACCGCGCACCACATCCAGGGATCGCGAATCCACGTCTGCTCGGGCCGGACGAAGGGGGGGGGATTGGGAAAGGGGGGGGTTCGAAATTTGCTGCATGCAGCTGGTTTCGGCCTCACCGAGGTGCCCATTCCTGGAGACGTAGGCGCCTCCCGGCGCCGGGAGGCGCCGGGAAAATCAGCTACGAGAGGTGATTCTGAATCCCCCCCTTTGCTATCCCCCCCTTTTGCCCGACCCGATCTGCGTGCGCCCCCGAGAGAAGGAAGGCCCGGGGAGAGAGCTTCTCAGCAGGCCGGAGGCCGCCGGAGCCTGCCACATGACGGGCCGCGGCACCCTCCTTGGCTTCCCCGCCCGGGGGCGCGCGCCGCCGAGAGCGAGGCAGGGCGTCCGCGGGAGGGCCTCGTGGCGTGCGTGCGGGGAGGCCTCCCGAGGCCTTCCCCGGGGCCAGGCAGGGTGAATCTCGGAGGTTGATCGACTTCTTCGGGCCGGACGAAGGGGGGGGATTGGGAAAGGGGGGGTTTCGAAATTGGCTGCATGCAGCTGCTTTTCGTCCTCACCGAGGGGCCCATTCCTCGATACATAGCTCCATCCGGCGCCGGGAGGCGCCGGGAAAATCAGCTACGTGAGCTGATTCTGAATCCCCCCCTTTGCTATCCCCCCCTTTCGCCCGACCCGACGTATGGAGGTCGATCAAGGGAGAGGAAGCATGTTGCCAAATAACTTCCAGGTGTCTAAAACATATGTGAAACATGTAAAAAACATGTTTGAAACATGTTTAGAATAGGTTTCCGACATTCTAAACACATTTCAAATTCAATGAAAGGACTGTTAGGGTGTTCATTGCCGTGGCATCCACAATGATAGACCTCCCGCCCTGACACGTCGATTAGCGAATTGGCCGTTTTCGGTTCGCGAGAGGTCGTCGCGGCCGTAATGTTTGCGGGTCCCGGTCAGTCGGTTTCGGTCTTAGGCCGTTTTCACTAAAGTGTGGTTTATTAAAGGGAGGTTTGTCCATCGCCGAAAATAAGATACTGCGAATGATGATGTTCCAACCTACTTTTAGCCTTGATCACTAGACAGAATTTCGAGCACCAGGGAGGTGCCGAAAATGGAGGGTTGTCACGCGTCGGGCCCTGGGAGGCAGTACTCGCTCGACGCTGTTTCGATACTTTTCTGGTTGCTCGAAATTGTTTATGGGATGTGGTCCGTAAGCACGGTGGGAACATCAATTGCGAAGTCCTTCCGGCCGGTGCCGCAGACCCTGAAGAGGAACGACGACAACGTCGGCGGCGGCGACGATGACGCTGATGTGGGTCAGAGTCCTCATGGAAGCTTCTCGGGGTCTCTTCGAAGCGCTCTCGGGGGCCTCTGGGGGATAGTTCAGGGGCCTCTTGGGAGCCTCTTGGGGGCCTCTCGGGGCTTCCTAGGGGTCTTGCAATGTCATCTCGGGACCTCTTGGGGGCCTCTTGGGGGTCCTCCTGCAAACCTCTCGGGGCCGAGCGCTCGAAATGTCCGTTCTGGTCCTCTGGGCACCCTCTTGGAGCCGTTCTAGGTCCCTCCTGGAGCCCTCTCGGGGTGTTTTGGGGCGGTCTTGGAGGCCTCTTGGGCCGTCGTGGAGCGTCGAGAAGCGGAAGAGGCGAGAACGCCGAAATGTTTCAAAAAACTTTTGGGAAATCAGTGATTTTTCGTATTGAGGCCCCCTTGGGAGTGCTCCTGGATGCCTCTTGGGGCGTCTTGCAGGGCTCTTGGGCCGTCTGGAGGCCGTCAAGGCATCTTGGACAGATCGTTCGGCGATTCGGGGCCCTCTTGGACCGTCTTTGGGGTCTCTTGTGGCAATCGCGACCCGTCTTGAGGCTTTTTGGGGCCCGGGCCCCCCCCGGGAGGAGTCGCGTCTGACCCGGGACCCGCCCCCTGGGGCCCTCTCCCAGGACCCCCCCGGGGACCCCACCCCCTCCTGGCGGGGGATGGACACAGGGAAGGGGCGTCCCTTCGAATCAATTACGACGTTGCCCAATTTCGTTTTGGCTGGCGTGCTTGAGGAGGAGGGCCTAGGGAAGGGGGGGGGCAGCGGAGACGAGCCCAGCGCTTGAGGAGGAGGGGCCCAAGAGAGGACGACTAACGAACGACGGAGACGACGACTCGAACGGACGGGCCCCTCACACACGCCGACATGATCGGCGGATTCGAGATGTTCGATCTTCGACTTCCTAGAAGGCGGAGGAGGAGGTGAAGGAGGAGGAGGAGGAGCGAGCTCCATTGCCTGTGGTGACCTCCAGGAGGTTCTCGATCGTGGCTCTGAGGAACAGGGCTTCAAACTTGTTGCGCCTCTTCTGGGGCTGGGAGGAGGCCTCTTCGTCGTCACGGCTGGACCTCTGCAGAAGGTTTGGTCATAACGCACCCTTGAAGATGTATGGAGATAGATTTACGAGGGAAGACGAGGAGAGGAGGAGAAGGAGGAGAAGGGGGAGGAGGGAAGGCGGGTGGGAGGGAGGGAGGGGAGGTGGAGGAGGAAGAGGAGGAGGAGGAGGAGGAGGAGGAGGAGGAGAAGGGAGAGGATGTTTGAGGATTCTGACGCTAATTGCAGCAGAGGCCGGCACGCAACTCGCAGAACATTGGTGAGCTGACAAATCTGTTAGGGCACCAAGTTGAAGCCAGGCAGGCGGCCAGTCTCAGCCAGACGGTCGAGCGAGCTGCCGTGTAGAGCAGGCAGCCTTCTGCGGTCGTTCGTAGCACTTGGAAGAGAGGGAGAGGGAGCGAAAGAGAGAGAGAGAGAGGGCGAGGACGAGAGAGAGAGAGAGGGCGAGAAAGAGAGAGAGAGAGAGCGAGGAAGAGAGAGAGAGAGAGAGAGGGCGAGGAATAGAGAGAGAGAGAGCGAGCAAGCGAGCGAGCGAGGGCGACGGGAGCCCTCCGGCGCGCCGGCCCGGGGGCCGCGGAGGCCCTGCACGCGCTGCTGAGCCGCGCGGGCTTCAACATCGGCCCCGACCTCCAGGCGAGCGGCGCGCGGCGCGCGGCGTCTGCCCTCAGTAGCGTTTGACCGACCCCCGCCCCCATCCTCGTCCTCATCCCCTTCGAGACCCCCACCAAATTGCCAGCCCAGTTGGGGATACACCCCTCGAGGCCCGAAGGGAACGGCCCATATCCCCATCCAGGCCACGCCGCTGGCGATGGGGGTCGGATAAACGATACTATGCTGCTCACCGAGCGCGTTCCACGGCACGGAAGCTGGACAAAAAAGTGGCTGGGGCCAGCCCCTCCACTCGTTCCAGTGCCCCGGCCAGCTTCCCTGCATTGTTGTCCAGCCCTGGCGGCCGCATCCCTGATGATTGTGTCGGGCTCGCTTCGTTCACCCACTGCCAGTTGTTCCAGCCCTGGCCACTTCCACTCTCACTGATTTTCCAACTACCACTTTTTCCAGCTTCCCTGTGCTTGCAAAGTGCCTACTCGCAGACGTCCGAGAAAAACACGTGATTGTATTGGTTTGATGGACTGTCGATCCCCGCGGCTGATCTGGGCCATTTGCGAGTCGCTACTTTGCGAATAGCGGAACGCGCTTGTGTATCTTCGGCCGTGTTCGGCAACCGTTTGGCACGCACGCGCGGGGCACGCACGCGACGCGCGTTCGAGCGCGCTCCACCACTCGCAAAGTGCCTACTCGCAGACGCCCGAGACATACGTGCCTGCCTCGGTGGAATGGATTGTAGCGATCCCCCTTCGGCGAATCCTGGCCATTTGCGAGTAGCTACTCAGCGAGTGGCGGAACGCGCTTGTTTATATTCGGCCGTTGTCGGCAGCCTGTTGGCACGCTTGCGCGGCGCGCGCGCGCGTGCCGAAATCGAAGAAGAAACGACATAAACAGAAACTTTTGGCGCTCCGAGCGGATCTCTTGTATCCGCGCTGGGCCCACCCTGGCGCGCTCCGCGCGCTGGGGAGGGGGTGCCAGCGCAGATCCAAGAAATCCGAGAGGATCGTCGAAGAGTTTGTGTTTATGCTGCCTTTGTTCTTCTACGAACAGCGCGCGCCTGCCGTTTTCGTCAGGTGTTCGCGCTCGGCGCCGGCCGCGGAATAGTTTCGGCAGTGTTCGGGTCCCTGGCCGGGCCCCCTGTTTGCAGGGAGGAGACCCACCGCGAGCCCCACAATTGGCGTTTACTCAACAGCCCTATCCGCTTCGATCCCTTCGTGCGTTTACGGAGGGGGTTCGCTGGTCGGGGTGCCTATTACGAGTGTGCTTCTCCTGCGCTCCACTATCCTCGAGGAAGCGCAAGCATGGATCAAGGCACGAGGGTTGGCGACGGGCCCCGTTTCCATGCAGCATCGGCCCGCTCCGTCGCCAGAGCCGGCGGCACTGTCCCGTGGTGTGCGTCGTTTGGGCGCCGTGGGGGCGGGGGCGAGAGGACAGTCTGGCAGGCAGTGCGCTCGCTTCCGGGGAGGTCTCGGTGCTCGGCCTCGTGCTC